CAGACTTCCGCTTTTTTCCTTTCATCCACCTGGGCAGCAAGCCCATTGGACAGAACAATCTCACAACTCAGGGAGGTGCTGTCTCCTATCGTGCTGGCCTGCATGCAGGCACCTGTGGACACAGCTTACTGACACATCCAGAAGCATGCTTTACTAATCTGCTAGCGTTTCTTTATTCTGTCAAGTTTTGCATATCACGATTGACAGTTACACTACATATAAACATATAAAAAGACCAAATGTTGTTATACAAAATAAACTATCAGTATAAAAGAAAAAAGGAAAAATGAAACATGGTGTCTTAGTTACTTTGTGCTCGTCACTGAGACAAAATACCTGATGCCCAAGTTGGGAAAGGAAAGGTTTATTTCTTACAGTTTTTGGAGGTTTCAGTCCATACTCAGTTGGCTCCCAGGCAGGAGGGCATGGCAGGGCCGCAGTTCACAGCGGCTGCAAACAGCAAACTCGGAACCAGCAAAGAGCAAGACACATCTTCTTCCTACCATTGCATCCCATCCTGTCTCCACCCCTATGTGGGTGGAGCACTGATATCATCAATCCAAGCACTAGACAATGAGCCAATCACAAATACACAATGCAAACTCATGAGGCCTGGGGGCCACAGACATAAACCATGACACATGGAAAAACTATAAAGACAAAAGGATAATTGTCCCTGTTTTGTTTATTCATATGAATATCCCAGCATAGTTTTCACTTTTGCTGTCTTTAGACTCCTGTGCCAGGCACTTCTAGTGCTCTCAGGGTTGGTGCTAGGAGTTTATGCTGCTCCATCCATTGATTGTCAACCTGAGTTTCCAGTCTATGTTCTGTGAAGGCCTCAAAGCAACCTCCACCTGGTTCCCTGGCCTTTGGAACTTCTGGCTGCCAGATGGCTCTCAGACACCTCAAAATGTTTAGATTCCCAGGGGGAAATAATGTGGCGGAGGAGGCTGTTTCTCTGCATCCCCAGAGCTCAAGGTGCCCAGCTGCCACAGACGTCTGAATCTCTCTCTGGCACTTGCTTCACATTGTGTGTGGTGCCAGGGAGACCAAAGCCCAAGATGCGAATGTCCAGTCCATCTGTCACTGCTCCTGGTGCTCTCTCATCCATTAGGCCTGATTCTTTTTGGTCTGTGGTTCACTTAGAGTCTGGTGCCAAGGAGAAGGAAGTCCAGGTGTGGACTGTCCGGGTTCTCTCCCTTACCCCATCCCTAATTTCATCCCACAGCAGCCCTCCAAATTTCAGTGTGGTTAATGGCTCCCATGTCTTCTTCCAATTTCAGGAGGCCCGTGCAGGAAGAAATTTGTTTCTTCAAATTTCTCAATCAATAAGATTCATTTTCAAAGCACTCATTAATGTTGCTTGGGATTTGAGTAGTATCTGTCCTGATACTCTTCTTTGACCTTTAATTCCTCTGTCTCTCTCTCCCTCTCTCATTACTTTTTCTAAAGGATACTTTAAATATTTGTGTCATTCTGGCTAAGCTGACATAAATGTTTTAGTTTGTCCTTATTCTGTGACATCTTTATTTCCTCTGCTTTCTAACTTTTACTGGACATAGTTATCTATGTTGGGAATTATTTTCTTTCAGGATTTGAAGACTATTATTCCATTCCCTCCTGGAATTTATATACCTTTTTCCATGAGAAATCGCTGTTACTAAGATGAGTTTATGGGCTGACATTTTTCAATTCCAGATTTCAATATTTGACCTAAACTCTTTACAATTTAAAGATATTATGAGAGGAGGAGATTATTTTCTGATCATGTGTGTTTGGGTTCTAGTTGTCTTCTGTCTATATTTGTCTGAAGATTTGAGAAATTTTCTGCTATTATTTTACTGAATAGATTGTCTTTGACTTTAATCTGTATCTTAGTACCCTGTCCCATTCTAAAACTCACAGGTTGGTTTTTAATTTTTTCTCAGAGGTCTTGGATATTTTGTTAATAATTTCTGCTTTCTCTTTTGCTGTCTGAATGATACTTCATTTACCTTCAAGTTCTAAATTTCTCTTTTTTGGTATCATGTAGCCTATTGGTGGGGCTTTCCACTGAATTTTTAAAATTTGTCTTACTGAAATTTTATTCTAACATTGTGTTTGCTTTTCTTTAATGGCTCCATGTCTTCATTAAATTACCTTTTAATACCCTACATTGTCTTATTTATTCTATAGAATTGTTTATGTCAAACTCTTTGAGATTATCTCCATAATAATTTAAAAATTCTTTGATATGTTGTCAACTTCTATATCATTAAAATCAGTTTGTGTGAAGTATTAATTTTTGGATGATCCATGTTCACCTCTTTTTTTCATATTTCCTAAGTTTTTATGTAGAGATGTGCACATCTGTTGAGATGAAATTCTCTTACTCTGTTATGTGAGGGCTTTCTTAGAAGGGCAGGCTTCTCCTGGTGATGTACCCTGGCATACTGATCTGTTGCATAAAGCTGACTTTAGCTCTAAGTGAATTTTTCTGCATGTTTCTCCCAAGGCTTCTTTGTGCATAATTGGTAGGGACTGACACAGTGCATTCTGCTATAGCCTGAGTGCTCTGTTTCTCTGTAGAGCTCTCAAGAGGAGGCTATTTCTGGTAGCTAAGTCAGATGTAAAGTAAAGTGTGTGTGGGCCCTCTGTCTATAGTTTTCCAATTTTGTCATCACAGTGTGGTTTGAAAAGTTATAGACAACTTCTGTTAGGGTAATTTGTAGATATGGTACCTACAAAGATTTTTTTCTTCTTCCTCTTCCTCTTTTTCATCTTCTTTTTCATCTTCCTCTTCTTTTTCTCCTCTTCCTCTTTTTCTCCTCCTCCTCTTCCTCTCCCTTCTCTTCCTCTCCCCCCCTTCTTTCTGCTGAATTATATGGATAAAACTGCAGAAGGAAGAATTCAAACCTTCTGTATGCATTCCTACTTTGGGTCACTGTTGTTTGGCTAGGGGCTTTCATTTCTCCTATTATTTAGGTCCTTGTAACCAACAAGATTGAGCGGGATTACACTGTGGCTGGACTAAGGTAAACTTCCTCTCAGCTCTGTTGAGAGTGTAGCTCAGACACACAGCACTTTGCTACCACGTTTCTGGCACCTGAGTGGATCCCCAGCACGTAATGCTTGCAGACTGTTTTCCCTGGCCCCAGGCAAGGAGTCAGAGTTGTAGGTATCAATTTCTCTATGTTCTCTGCATCACTTTTCCAAATCTCTGCTACTTACATTTCCTTTTTCCTTTCCATTGTTTCTCAAAACGCTTCCTGAAGTTCACTAAAACAGTTTCTTCTTTGTTTGGCTAAATCTTCTCAGTCACAGAATCACAATCATCTGTCTCCCCACCCTTACATTCCCTTTTGATTTCCTTTAATGTGGCAATAATGCTCTATTGTCTGGATGTACCAGTTTATCCATTTGCCTATTGAGGGACACTTTTGCTGTTTCCAAGTTTTAGCACATTTGAATAAAGGTGCCATAAACATCTCCAGGCAGGACTTATGTGGATGTGTTTTCATATCCTTTGATAAATAGGACTATGAATTCTGGATCACATGTCAAGAACCTGCTAACCTATCTTTAAGTGGTCACACCATTTCCATTCTTACCTGTGTTAGTTACTTTTCTTGTTACTGGGACAAATTACCCTGACACCAAAGTTAAAGGAGGGAAGGTGTATCTCAGATCACAGTAAGTAGACGTTTCAGTCCATATTCAGCTGGCTCTGAGGCAGCACAGGCCAGCAGAGGGTGTCACAGGTGAGAAACAATTCATGGTGTGGCAGGCAGAAGGAATCAAGCAGCAGCAGCAGCAGCAGCAGCAGCAGCAGCAGCAGCAGCAATCAGCCAGCCTACCTGCCTGCTGTTCCCTTTTATCCCATGCAGGGCAGCAGTCTTTTTGGTGGTGCCACTCAGAACTATTGAAATTTGAAACAGTGGATTGATTTACTACCACACACTCTTAATTTCAGTGTCACATTCCAGCTCCAAAAAGTCACACCTTTGAGTGCATGAATTTTGAGGGGACATCTAGATCCAATCCATAACATCACCAAAACTAAGAATTTCTATTGTTCTATATTTCCACTAGCAACTGACTTTGTGTTTTCCATTTTTGTCTTTTTAACAGGTGCAAAGTGCTACCTCCTTGTTGTTTTAACTTGCGATTCCTTAAGCCTATCTGTCATGTTAATAATTGTGTCTTCCTTGATGCAGCAAGAGTACGTCAGGGTTCCATGGCATCTGGGGATTGATGAAGAGCACAGAATTAAGGAAGGCTGTAGTGCCAACTCACTCTGTGGTAATTACCTTGCATGTTCAACTGAGATTCTCATATAAATCACTCTTTTCAGTCAAGTTTGGGAAGACCTATCAAAATGCCCACAAAGGTAATTAAAATGTTAATCTGCATGTGTAGATTAAGAAACCACCTTTGTTGATTATCTATATAATGTCTTTCAAACACATTTGGAGTAGTGGAACATTTTTTCTCAAGGCGAAAGCTCACTCAGAAGTGCATTACACATGCAGGGAAAGTGGCCTATGTCTGGCTGAATGAGTGGGGCTTGAAATGAGTTCCTTGCCCAACAGGCACCTCTCATGCTTTCTGTCCCCCAAGGTGGTACACAAAAAGACACCTGTGACACCCAGAGCTCCACAGAGCAGATCATAAGTCACAGGTTAATCCCTTCATTCTAGAATCAGAAACCTAGAGAGCTGATGTGAGTTTCCCATAATCCTAATGTTACTGGCAGCAACAGGGCTAAATTCCAGCTCCTTGAACAGTAGTACAGTAGCTTTCACCTGTATTCACCTACAGACCTGAATACTGAAAGCCATAGAATCAGTTTAGAAAATAGCAGTGAGGGTTCCCAACTGGGAAAGAAAAGTCAGGGGATCTGGAAACAGAGACCTTGCTTAGAATTTTGCTTCTCCTCCAACAGTGTGGACCTCTCTTTTCATTTGGAAGCCATTTTCAGCCTATCTGTTGTAATAGACATAAAGAGACAAGACTACTTTCTAAATGTATTTATTTAACAACTAGTTTATTGATTTGAATTTTGAAGCATTAGAGAAAAGTTTTACCCACAGGCATCATAGATTCTCTTGGTGAAGAGCTACATGGTTCTGTCTGGATATATAAGACTTTTTATACATATACTCAGTCTCATGTCTTCAGTGAAATTTAGTTTAAATATATCTTATCTGGCACAACTACTAGTTCCATATCCATATGGATCCATATCCACCATAGCTCAGACAATCTTCTCAGTGCAGAAGGGAGTTACAGCAATGCACCACCTGGCATCCTAGCACACGCTCAATAGATCCTTTTAGTTAAATAAATGATCTTCAGATATGAGGTATCTAGCAAATATAGTTTAAGAATATATTAACTTGATTTTCAATAACATATTGAGGTGGGTGGACTGCATTTGAGCCATATGCAATTGTTATATCCCAGGCATCAATAATTCCCACATTGAGATCCTGGAAAATGTCCTTTATAACCAGATACTGAATGTAGCCATGAAAGTCACTAAATCTTTCCACATCACTGTTCAGCTCCCTGGTGTTTTCCAGCTTGATGATAACCATAGTGTCTGGGCTTCTCAGAAGAAGACGCTCAACAGCTTTGCGGACATTGAGGGCTCTTCGGATGAAGACATCTAGGGGAAAGGGTCTGAAATGCTGGCCCAGAGAAATTACAATCACGGTATTTTTATCTCCTCCAGTTCTGTCAATGGCCCGGGCAATGTACTCAATCTCTTTGACTGAATAGACCAGTGAGCCAATCAAGGGGAAAGCATGTTTTTGCCACTGGATGTTAATATTTCTATCCAAGTCCACGGCGAGTTGATGTTGCAGTTTTCCAGATTCATGTAGATCTACTAACCGCAGTGCTGATGACAAATCCGCAATCCCAAGAAAGAGAATAATGTTACAAAGATTGACCAGTTTTAAAGATAAGAGAGAAGATTTGTTTTAGAATTAAATAGACTAATCATGCCTGATTTATTATAGGGTTAACTGAAGGGATAATTTTGAAAATAACTCAAAAAATTAAAAATGTTATACAAATGTAAGAGATCTATGTATGCCTTCTTACAGAATCATGCAGACCAGCTGAGACTAGGAATGTTAGGACACTGAGATACCTTCACTGGAGAATGATACAACCAGTTTTGTAAGCATTTTTATAGTCTGTGTTAACTATAAACTAAGCTCACTTGAGAATAGTTCTTGATTTTATTTACATTTTAAAAATAGGGCTGAAGATATATAGTTCAATGAAAGACCACTTGCCTAACGTGTGAGACTCTGGCTTTATTGCTTGTAAAACATACAATGAATAAGTCAGTGAATGAATAAACAAATAAATACATAAAATTTAAAAAGAAACAAGTGAGCCTGATTCCTAAAACACTGCAAAATGCTATATTCTGTGTTTTCTTTCATGTGCATGGGATGGTAGTATATATACTTTATGATATAATAATACTGTTACCACTCATTTAAGAAATATGTTACAGTTTATAAACCATTTATTTTAATGGGCAATCTACCTTAAATATCCTTTTGTATTTTTCAAAAGAAAAGAGAACATCACCTGTTCAGTATTACAGTTCATGATGAAATCACGTAAGACTGAAGTTACTCCCAATTCTTGTGAACATGGTCAGTCTGATCTTTACACTTCTGAAAATAATCTCCTATGAACAAACTAAACTCAAGCTCTTCCAGTTTTCATCAGTTTAATTTCATTCTTACCATATTATGAAGGTCATGTATTTTCTAGCTAGAACTTCTGAGGAATGTATAGCCAGTGATTATAAATACTTTATAGCATGTGTCATCTTAAAAATAAGTGGTTAGATTTAAACTCTTATGCCAGTAAGGTTGAAAAATAGAGATGCTGGAGAAATAGTTGGAGGAAAATGCAGAATTATTTTCTGCACTCTGTTTCCAATTTACTTTCGTTTCCTTCTCCAAAGCACACTCTGATCAAGAAGTTAACTTTTAGCAAAATGCCTTAGATTGATTTTCCTACCAGAATTTACAAGATAAACTCAGGAGGATCAGTAGCATAGTAACTCGGGACTAACAGAATGTGACCCGGAAGGATATCTGTAGCCTTTCATTTTGTAGCTGAGACAACTGAGGTCCAAAAGAGCTCAGTGACCTTTTGGAGGTCACGACTGAAAACCTTCTCCTGTTGAGAATTCTCCTTGTAACTAACCTGTAGTTCAGGTCTTACCAATTTTCCAGTTTTTATGGAGAGGACCAGCGGGAGATCACAAAAGTGGCCTGATATAGAAAGGCCAAGAGTCACTGCCTCTTGGTTATTCTTAGGCATAAGAGTTGGGGCCCAGGGGCAGAGAGGGATAGGTAGTGATAGTTTTCTACGCTGGACTGCTAAGATCTATTATTGATTCTGAGTTATTACTGTTGCCCTCTTGGGTTTAGGAAATAGGGTGAGTTGACTAGGATTGTCATAAACTGCATTCTAGCCCTAAATCTGACACTAATGAAAATCATTGCTGTTGTTTTTTGGGCATTTTCTATGTGCCAGCGTGCCTTACTATGTGTTAAATGCTTTATATCAATTACTTCAAATCATCTTCAAAATCCACAGCATTTATCCAATTGCTGTTTCTGGTTGAAAAATGAGGAGACTGGGTTAGAAAAAATAAGGTGCTCAAGATCATTGTTTCTGAGTAGAGCCCCACAGATTAGATCTGTTAGACTCTAACATGCTTTTAGCACATTGTGCCTGCCAAGTGCTAAGTCTGTCCCATTATCAGACAGTGATAACAAAGCGAACTTACTTTGCAACACACAGTATTGAAAATATACCATATGTACCATTACCGTTTTACTAGATGGGTGCCCTTTAACCTCCAGGGGATAGAGGGACAAAACGGTTTTGTAACTTATCCAAATATAACAAGATAGGATGTGAAGTCCAGTTTTCAACCCAGGCCATCTGAATATAAAATTTATACACTTAATCACTGTGCCAACTGTAGGAGAGAGGAAATGCAATGTCTTACATCATCTTTAGCTCTATTGATAACTTTCTAAGGCTGTTGTGCAAATAGTGAAGTATGAATTCTGCAGGGCGGAGAAGTAATGTTTTCTATACTGGCCCTGTTCTAGTCAGATCCGTGTGTGCTTTCAGAGAAAGATAATCCTTTGTGAATATATGTGGTATTTCATGATTAAGTAATATATAAATATGAAATGACAAGTCTCTTAAAAGGATATATATATATATATACATATATGTGTGTATATATGCACATATGAATAATAGCTTAGAGTGAGGCATACTTTGCATTCTGGTTTTGAAGTACTCTATCCACTGGCGGACTGTGGAATCTCCCAATAGATATATGAGTTTTCCGCTCAGGCAGTCTTTCATGCTGACTGGAGTCAGAATGCAGGACACAGGATTCCATGTATATTTCCAGACATGTCCACTGGGGACTGTGGATATCAGTCCAGGCTTGCATTTCTCTTTCACTGCTTCTGTTTTTGCTGCAAAGAAACCAGGAAGACAGGATCCTCTAAAACATCAGGTTGGCCATCAGTATTTGTTAAGAGACGTATGTCTTTCCTAAAGTATCCTCTTAATATAGAGTAAACGTGGCAGTGGAGGAAAAGCCACACTGAAGTATCTTCATAGTGGAACAGCTAGTTTCCAGTAAATTTTTCTGTGATTTTAGTTTCCTAACTGATAACCATTAATGTTCATTACAAGAACACATGTATTTCCCAGAAGAAAAAAAAAAAACGACCTTCTGGTAGAATTTAAGTACTTGTCAATGTTGCTTTCAAAGCAACATCATCAGTTCTTACAAAGCTGAAAGGTCATTCATCGTATCACTTTAGCCAACTCTGCCCCTCTGTTTGTCACACACTATCACAGTGCCTTAAATGTCACAATTAAACTATCCATTGTTTTAAGTAAAATGGTGGGTGATACAACACATATCACTTGGAAACTGGCCAATATGAATGCATTTGCATGTAGGTCTGGAGGTCCACAAAGGGCCAAGTATTAAACCCTTAGTCACTGGCTTATGAATAACTGAGGCGGCTGAAATGGTGAGGTGACAGCTTTGGGGCAGTGATGGTTCATCATTCGAAGAACAGCACTAAGTATTAAACAACTGCCATGAGTTTACCCACATATATTTCTACATTTGATGCAGAGAAGTATAATTAGCAGTTAGCAAGATTTAAATGTTGAGCTGATGTAAATACAAAAGATGTTTCCTTAAATCATCTTAGATGGAACTTCCCTGGGCTGTTTAGAGTCAAATAGTTAAAAAATGGTAAATAGGGGGCAGGGATTTAGCTCAGGGGCAAATGCACCTGCCTGGCAAACACGAGGTCGTGAGTTTAATACTCAGTACAAAAAAAAAAAAAAAAAAAAAAAAGAACCAGTAGATACAAATGTAGAAGTTCTACATTGGATATTAAAGCTGAAAACTGACAGTCATAAGGTGAGAATCAACTCCTACACATCAGGTTTGATCCCTCTAGATGCTGATGCTTGGGCTGGAAAGGGAGGAGGAGGTAGCCATAGTGGTAGCATGTGGAAGTAAAGAACTAGGTAAAGAACTGGGAGAAAGAGTTTTAATGTGCATAGGTTACTGTATAAGGTGGGCAGGCAATCAGTTCCTGCCAAGTAGATTGCTGATGAGAGAGACAGTTACTCCCATAGGCTACTCAAGTACATTTTAATGATTCTAATCATTCACCTTCTTAGGTACCTTAGACAGCACAGATGAGTACTAATAGGCCCAAAGGTGAAAACCCCAGGAGGAAGAGGAAGGCCTTTGGCTGGGTCTGGTCCTAAGCACCTAGCAAATTCAGAACACTTACTGTTACATTTTGTCACACGGATCACATTGGAGTGTTTCATAATCTCCACAGCCATATTTGACCTTAGAGAGACAATATAGAAATGAATCTGCAGGTGGCCCCAAATAAGGAAATAAGAAGCCAGATTATGCAATACTTCCATTATTTCTTGTTAAGTTGGTTACTGTGCCCACATGTTCACATCGTTTAGTAAATTTCCATCTTTTGACCTATTATTTCTTAGGATATAGTTACTCAGAGGATGTGCAAGGTGATGTATTGAGGAGCACAGATCACATATCTGCACATATGTGCAGAGTCTGCCAAACACATTTACACACACTTCAGCAGTTTTCCCTACTCATAAATGTCTGGAGGCTCCTGGTCACCACTTTGAGCACCTCTTATAATTATAGAGGCCAAAGGCAACTGTATTAATCTCATGATATCTCAATATATTTAGTATCAAAATGTTTATGCAAGTTTTTCTTTTCCATATATATATATATATATATATATATATACTCTCTATTCAATTTTAGTTTTTGTTCTGCCTATATTTTTTTATTTCTTTGATGAGAATTAAATATCCAAACCATTTGGGGACTTCTGGAGACACTGTCTTTAAATGAATTCATAGTTTCTTTCCCAAATGATTGTTCTTACAGAGAATCAAAGGTGATATATTTACAGGACTTTTCTTTAGATTGCCATATCAGATAAACACCATAATTGCTCAGATAGTCACCAGCAATAATTATTTACCTTTCAAAGAGGTTCATTTCTTGATGGCTAAGATAGGAAACTTGCTTGTTCTTAGAATACATGTGAGTAAGTGCAGCACAGGACACATGAGAAGGTTTCACACAGTAGAAGGCTTCTTGGTCTTCAGCATTCAGGTATCTGCACAGTTCAGCACTTGAGTTCAAAAACAGCCCACAATCAGTATCGACCCGGGAGCTGCCATTGACAAACTGGCCTTTGAAGACCACTCTGTCGTAGCCTTGGTTCCGGGCCCTCCAGAGAGCCGAAGCCCCTTCACTGGGGTGCATGAGCAGCACAGACAGGGAGACCTCGCCCTCCCAGAACAGAGTGAAGCTGACGAGGTAGGTGCCATTGTTGAAGTCTGTCACCTTCCCCGATGCACCTGCCTCCAGGTCTGGGGAGGACATCCTGGCCCTGAGGAAGTCCCCACCATATTCCTTCCTGCGTCCCAAGTGGTCCTTCATCTGTAGCAGGACATCCAGCTGGTCGCCCCTGCAGTACGTGATTTGAGGGTTGAGGATGGAAGCTGTGCTCTGCTTGGCACTGCTTGTGGTGTATATGTGGGTGAAGGGCCTGGGTGGGATCAGCTGATCCATCTTCTTCAGTATTTTCCTGATCTTCAGGTCAGTCTCTGCTGCAGAAACTACTGAACATGGTGATGCTTCACTATCCACGGCCTTCCTAAAGGAATTCCAGTGAGGGAGGGAGTCGGGCCACTTGAGTGCAGTCCACTTCTGAAATGATGAGAGCTAGAATAAGGAACATGTAAAGTGTTCCTGCTTAATGTAACAACTTTGTTTGGTTAGCCAAATTTTGTCTTTTATAAAAAAAGCCTGGCCAATTTTCATTGGCTAGTTTATTTTGGAACACCTGTTTAACCCCCAAAGAGTTCTGGGGTCATCTTCTGAACACTGTTAATAAAATCTACCTTACTGGCAACTGTGAAAATCAAATGAAAAAATATTTTAACTGCATAGTAGAAAATTAGTGCTTATTGTTCTTTTATTTTTATCTTACAACTAAATTTTGATCAAAAGTGTTTAATCTTAGACAAAAGTCTGTGCTGTTGAGAAATGCTAAAGATCAGTTTTCAAACTGAAATTAAAAGATGCTAATTAGTATCAAAAAACATAGGAAGCATGAACTCATCGACAAAGTTAAATGCATAGTCAAAATTACAATACTGTAGTGGTGGCATATAAACCAGTTGTATTTTTGTATGAAGGCCTCCAGAAAGCTGATGATGCCCTTCCCTGGGGTGCATGACAGGAAAGACAGTGACACCTGGGCTTCCCAGAACAGAGTGAATCTGACAAGGTAGATTCATCAAACATAATAGCTACAGTAGTTCATTAATTATTAAACTACACAACATAAGAGATGTAACACCAAAAATTTAAAATACAGCATGGGGTGGAGTAAAGGTATGAAGTTTTTCATATGATCAAGCATTAGTTATTATCAGCTTATAATAGGGTTTTATAACTGTAAGATTCCTTTATAGGACTCACGGTAATGAAAAGAGAACATCTGTAGTGGATACATAAATTATAAGAGTATGGTATTAAATTATACAGCCAGAGAAAGTTATTTGTTCAGAAAGGAAAAAAACAAGAAGGCAAGCACAGAAAGAAAGAATAAATAACCCATGAAACAACTAGAATGCAATTAATAAATTGGTAATAATAAAAACTTTCCAGACAATAATGGCCTTGGGTATAATGAATTCATCAATTAGAAGACATACAGCAGTTGATCTGAAGAAAAAAATATAGTGAGACTCAACTATATGCTGCCTTCAAGAGAGGCACTTTATCTGTAAGAACACACGTAAGCTGAATGGGACAGAACAGGAAAAGACACTCGATGCAAACATAAATACAAACTGAAAGAGAACATGAGTTGTTATATCAGGCAAAATAGACTAAGGCAAAAACTGTAAAACAAGAAAAAGGTTATTATCTGATACTAAAATGGTCAATTCTTCCTCAAGAGGAAGATGTATGCATCGCCAATGCTGAAGCAAACGTTAATAGATTGGAAAGGAGGAATTGATTGCAACACAGTAATAGCAAACTCTATACTTCATTTTCACTGATCACACAGGCAGAAATTCAATAAACAAACATCATAATGAAACTGTACTTTACCTAGATTGGGGATGTAGCTCAAGGGTCAGAGCTCTAGACTCCTGTTCTAAATGCCTGGGTTCAATCCATAACATCAAAAAATATAAAGCGAGAGAAGATAACAACAACAATAACAACACACACACACACACACACACACACACACACACACACACACGCATGCACGCACAGCCCAAAGCTATTATTGAAACCAAATGAACTTATGTACCAAATATACACATAGAATATCCCTTCCGTATTCTCCATGCTAGATGTATGGTAGGCCACAAACAAATCCTAACAAATTAAAATTAAAGTCACATCACGTATCTTTGCCAACCACAGTGGTATGAAATTAGAAATCCATAATTGGAAGAACTTCAGAAACTTTAAAAATACATGCAAATTAAATAACATGCTCCTGAACAACCAATAGGGCAAAGAAGAAATTTAAAAGATATATTGAAGCTGTGTGTAGTGGTGCGCTTCTATTATCCTATTACATGGAGGCTATAAGGGGAGAATTGCAAGTTCAAGGCCAGTCTGGCCAGTGTGAAAAGACCTTGCCAATAAATGAAAAAGACAAACCAGAGAGAGAGAGAGAGACAGACAGACAGACCAACAGAGACTGAGACAGACAGAGACAGAAAGAGATTGACAGACAGAGACTGAGACAGGCAGAGAGACAGAAGGATAGAGAAACTGAGAGACAGACAAAGACAAAAACAGAAAACAAGACAGAGACACAGATAGAGAAATGAAAAAGGACACACTGTGTGCTGGGAGGAGAACCAAGAAGCTAACCACTCCCGTGAATTAGACAATAAAAAGTAGTCACTGAAGGTAAGTGTTGAGTTTTGCAAATGTAAACTGAGAAAACATTAAATAGGCTAAGACAGAAAAAAAGAGAAGATATAAATAACTAAAATTAGAAGCACAAAAGGTATAATTGGGAAAGGTTACATTACAAAGGATATCACAAAGTTCTACTATGAACAATTAAATGCCAGCAGACTGTATAATCTAGAAGAAATGAATAAATTCCTAGACTCATGCAACCTACCAAGCTGGAATCATGAAGAGAAAATCAGTAAGTGAGGAGATTTTATCACTAGTATATCTTCCCAAAAGGATGATTATGTTCACCACATCTGATCACACAGTACTGGAAATCCTAACCAGGCCAATCAGTCAAGAGAAAGAAAGAAAAGACATCCTAGATGGGATGGAGAAAGTTAAATTGCCACTATCAGCAAATAACACAATCTTATGTAGAGAGAGCCATAAAGGCTCCACCAAAAAATTTTAAAAATTAATAAACAAATTAATTGAAATTATAGTAGGATATAAAAACAATCTACAAAAATCAGTAGCATTTTCATATACTACCTGCAAACTATCTGCGAAAGAAGCCAAGGAAACAATGTCATTTGCAAAAGCTAACAAAAAGTTAAATATTAGGAATAAATTTAACCGCAGATGTAAAGACCTGTATGCTGAACACATTATAAAACACTGACGAAGCAAATTGAGCAATATACAAACAAGTGGAATGATAATTCATGTTTATGGACTGGAAGAACTAATATTAATCTGCTACACAAAGCAATCTGCAGATTCAGTGAAATTCCTATCAAAATACAAATGACATTTTCACAGAAATAATAAAACCAATCTCAAAACACACAAGAAACTATGAAACATCTTGAGTAGTCACAGCAATCTGGAACAAAAAGAACAAAGCTGTAGGCCATGGTACTTGACTTCAATTACATTCCAAAAGTCTAGTAATCAAAACAGCATAGAACAGACACATAGACCAATGGAATAGAGATCCCACAAATAAATCCTTAATAACAGTCCCTTGACATGCTAAAACACACATGGAAAATTATTGTAATTTGCTTGAATAGTCTATTTTTTAGTATTTTCTCACAAAAGCTGAATTATTTCTCGGGTTCTTTAAAGTACATATAATTATTTAAAGTAAAGACTGTAAATTTGTAATAATACGACAAGAATAGCAGAGAATAGGGTGAAATATACATAGGACAAAATAGATTTTGAAAATTATACATTAAATGAAGTGACATTTTAATAATTCTAAAAACTAAGACTCGATATAATGTATAGAGAAGTTGCTAACAACATATAGAAACTAAAAGAAAATACTAAAAATTTAAAAATTCAGTTAACTCAAAATAAACCACCTATATTAAAAGGTTAAATGTCAAAAGCAACATTCTAAAGGTTTAGTAGAGTGCTTACACAGATCTGATGTTGGAGTGGGGAGAAATTTTCCTTCAAAATGCACTAAATATTTTTTAAAAGATAAAGTTTGCTACATAAAAATGCTTATTTTCAGAAAGTCCATTAATAAATGTTTAAGAACTACCAATTATCTTATTTTTTTAATGCTGTGTAAACTGCTAAAGCTAGACTGAGGACCAAATGCAAGACCATGCACTTGCCAGGCAGGCCACTGAGCTATACCCCTAGCTAAAACTAATCTATAGGTCTCAGTTTGGACTTTCCCAGAACAGAAGAAGTGAAAATACAAACATACTTTTATAAGACGAAGAAAATAAGCAATTCCTACCTTTATAGGGCTGCGGAAAACTGTAAAACTGATCCACAAGGTGGATATAAGCAACAGTACCAATAAGGATTTACGGTTAATCATAGCTGTTCTCATAATTCAGGCCCTACAAGAGGCAAAACAAAATGCACACTCTTAAAGCAAAACAAAACCAAGAAAAACATGGAAACATATCATATTTTCTACCTCTGATTGTTTTTATCCTCCATAAGTTACTCCCAGGAATTAGCCTTGGCCCTCTGGGCTGACCCTGATGCTCCCCAGCTGCTGTGGTTGGATACTGACTTTACATTCCACAGCAGATAAACTCCCAGAGCTAACTGTGGACTCTACTAACCCAGAACAGGAAGCAGGCAGGGTTGCTCACGTGCTGTTAATGTCATCTGGTATTCCCATTTTTTCTCTCCTTTAAGGCAAAAAGCAGAGATAATGTTTCAGCAAATACTGATGCTGAGAAACATGTTATTACTGTGCCCTACTAGCATAACTGATCTTACAGTTTCCTTAATCTCTGTCTGTATATATTTCACTTTCTTGTATTACTAACCTTTCTAATACTCTTCAACCTTGAAAAACTTATTTTAAAACTCATTTATCACTTTATTTTAAATATTATTCAGGTTTTATCAATGTTTTGTCTTTAGTTAATATTAATATTTATCTTTCAATTGGAATTTCAAGTTGTCTTTTCAAATTGGTTGGTCTAAGGTTGTAACTCAGTGGTACAGCACCTGTCTAACTTGTATAAGCCTCTGGGTTCAATCACTGGACCATCAAATAACATAAATTAAAAACAAGGTAATGTAAGATTGAGTGAATGCTGCCTTTTAAAAATTTTCCATCTCTTGAAATTTATTTCCCCTAAAAGCACCCTCTGCCCCACACTCCCATTTTATACAAGACAGAGATTTCAGCACTCAAGAACAAATATTACCACTTTCCCTTACCCATTGCATTTTGTCAATATTTGCATACCTTAGTGTAAAGTCTTAGTCCAATTCCATATCTAAGAACTTCAGTGAGCTGAATGTGGAGGTTCGATTCCGAAGCCATGAATATGCTAATAGGGTACTCCTTCTCTATATCAAAACAAACCACAGCCATACATTGCAACTTCCATAGCTTGGATCTGCAGCTTTCTCCAAGTTTCAGCTCAGAAGTGTCAGGTACACCTGCTTTAACTTAAGGAAGGACCTGAATCACACTATAATTATGAGGTCAAGTAGATTGAGGAAGAGGAATGAAATGATTTACGTAGCAGACACACTGATTTCATTATCTCAAGCCTTAAGGAGTCCAATTTTAGTAAGCATATGATACATATCCAGTAAGAAAAAATTGAATAAAACCAAACGTTTGAGTGATTGTGAGTTGTCATCTGCGAAGAGTTGAACTTTTTACTTTCCATCTCAGTTCTGTTATCAAAACCCAGCTGCCGGGATTCAGCACATACTGCTTCATACATAAACACACTCAACACAATCTGCAAGGAGGAACCAAATGAAGCACAAATATAACGAAGGCAAAAAATAATACTGATTACCTTTTTCAGATAGGGAGCATGTCCGCTTACGGTCACAGGTTGAAACCATCTGGAGTTTGTATCCCTGATCTGATAGAAACAGTGCCAGAAAAAGCAGGTACACACAGGAAGCTGCAGTGGGCTGGCTCCTCAGATGGTTTCGTCAGTCTCATTTATTCTGTCCCATACACATGTCCATCAGTCCTTCATGTCTTTCTTGTAAGCACGAATGGAGAGCCATTTCAAAAGAATCTTACAGATTTTAATCCTTCCCATATCCTTTGCCATGCTATACCAAACTAGCCATAAGAAGCATATAACTTTATATGATGACGGTTAAAAAGGGTGTGTTGACCTTGTATGACTGGATCTAGGGAAGGTTCAATGCCGCTCTAAAAACCCTGTAAAGGAGGAAATACTTGCTGTGGGTTTGGTTTGGCTGTTCCTTGGGAGACGAATGCCAACAACCAACCAAGTTCACGTCCTACACTGAGAGACAGAGATTTACGGATTTTACTTTATTTCAGTTATACAGATACTGGCACTTAATGTGACTCTGGAAACTTTTCAAAAGGCAAGTGTACTAGTTGTGCTCGACAGAAAGAACTGAAGGTGCAGAATGGAGTTTTAATACTTAGCCCAGATCATCTTGTGAGATATAGAACTGGGCAAAGCGCAGGAGTCCAGTCATTTTAACCTCTCATTCAACTACTTTCCAGTACTCAGCATGACTCCAACATCTGTGATATAACCAAATACAGGTGCATCCTGTGGTCCATGCATTTATTTCCATTATAGTTAGTAAAAAGGGCTCCTCTTCCTTTTGACCATATTTTTCTTCAAATGGTTCCAAAAGTTAGTGTGAACAAGATAAATGGTCCTCCGTAGTGTGCCATCCTTGAAGTTAACGTGTTTCATCATCAGCTTCGGTAGTGTGGTTTCCTTTCCCTTAAATTAGTCTCAATAATAAGGGAGTCCACACGTGGGAGCTTAGTCACAGACAGGACCACAAAGCTCCGAGTTCATGTAATTAAATAAAATCCAGGCCGTCAACAGTCCTTTGATAGAATAAATAGAGTAAGAGCAGTGCTGCCCAGATTCTAAAAGAGCACAAGCAAGATGAACAGAGCTCACTGGGCAAGTCAAAGAGCAGGTGTTCAGAGAACAAGCACTGCAGTCTAAGACATAGTTAGGAAGATGGTTCCTGTGGTTTCAGGAAGCAAATAGGGTGCGCTGTGTTAGCAAAGGCACCCCGCATTTCCATGGAAAGGGAAAATGGGGCACAGGATGCTGAAACCACCAGCTAAAACTCATTGCTAAATCCATGGTCACTAAATGGGGGAGGCAGACCTTGAACTGAGATCTCCAGAGCTGCATTTTTTAGCCCCTGTTAGGTTTTGCCAGAAACCATGAGGCAGCAAAATCACGGGAGGGAGAGTAGAGATTAGATGTTAACAGCAGAAATAGATGAGGCAGGGACGGAGAGTGTCATGTGCCTAAAACAGTGGACCCCCACAGTACCCTGGGTGTGCACAGAGGACATCGCAGCTCTCACCAGAGCCCCAGCGCTGCTTACATACTCTTTGCTCGGTTCCTCAGCAACACTTGAGGTCTGGGTGAGACCTACAGCATGCTGCGGGCGGGAGAAGAAGCATTTTATCTTCCTCCCTGATTCACAGACAGAACACTAACCTGCAAAAATGATCACAATTATGCATTCCAGCTACATGTATTGTACACACAAGTCATTATTTTAGTTTACTGACTATATAAAAGAAAATATTTCCATAGCAATGAAAAACGAGACAGGAATACTGCTAGGAGCATATTCAAACCCACTGGACTTTAAAACTTTAATAACATTAACAGCACAGATCTGATGTTTTCTATTATTCTGCAAAGGTACATTCCTTACAAATAGGTCAAGAAATATGCTTTTTTCACAGTGATGTGATTGGTCCCTTAACCTTAAAGAATGTGCACCTTGAAATGAGAACATGGACACCTGGCCATCTGGTCAACTTCCAACCAAATTTTGTATAACAGGTTTGCCTAACAGATTTTTATCCCCGTGACTGAAGGAGGAGGAACTTATTTTTAGAATTCCCAAGCAGTCTTGCCCTTCAGGATTGACTGGACTGCCTCAGACACAAAGGTCCTTCCGGTCATGTGACTGTGAAGCAAGTGTAGGCTCCTCATTCCTGCAGAAAGGTGAGTTAAGTGGAGTAACTCAAATGCAGGACTTAGGGTGGAAAGTACTCCACTTCATATTGAAAGTGGGCCCATAGTTAAGGTGCATCATTGCTCCACAGAACATATCACTGCTCCAAAGGTAACCTTGTCTGGTTCTCAGTTTGGACCTGAATTGTTCCATATGTGTAAATTCCTGCTTGTTCTTTAAAGGTTTTTTTCTGTTCTAATTCAGACATCTGCTCAGGGTCAATTGGGAATGGAGATCCTGGTCAGCAGAAAACAGAAATGCAGCTCAATTTTCCAGCCACCTCTGACTCACGGATTAGGTTTATCTAACAGAAACTGAATTGCACTATAGATGCTTGTGATTTTGTATATAGTTTGTGACTGAATAAATCAAATTTTACTAATGTACTGGTCATGCATTCTTGTGCAACCAACACAATAATTAGGAAACGAAGTAAGTCAGGTACCTGTCTATAGAGTCTGGATTTTATTCAAGGTAAAATTTTCCACTCTCATTTATCCTAGAAAGAGTTCTATCCTATGACAGGAACGTGCAGAGCCTTGGATTTTGGAAGGAGGCAGCTTCCTCTTCTCAGTGGGGCCTCAAGAATCAAATTGGTCTGTACTTCTAGGAAAGGAGTTTCAGGAATTCGCTTACTTTTGAAGGGTAAACTTATGTTGAAGTGTAAACTTACGTGATGGTGAATGCAAAAGGTCTAGTTTGGGTTTTGAATCTCTGAATGTAGTAATATTTAGTAGAACTTAGGAATTATTTTTACTTTGTAATTCCTTGCTGTTAGTTCTAAACTACTAACAACCTCTTTTTTAAAATTATAGGCTTATCTCAGCTATGCTTGGAAAAATGCAGGTTGTGCACGAGAATGAGCAAACCACAAAGAAAGCGCTCCAAAGCTTATTGAGAACATCTAAGCCATGATGTCCCCTGCCAAACACACACATCAGGATCACAAACATTGAGCAAGAACAATCTCTACAAGTGAATTGGTGAACATTGAAAATGGAAGACCCTCTCTGCAATGCAGCACAAAGGGAAGACCTGATTAATGGAACAAACTGCCCTTCACTTTAAACATTTTATGTTGCTAAAGGGATTTGAAGCCGTTGCTAGACTGTGATCAACCAGAGTAATAAAAACTTCGAGCCCATTGTCAGCCATGGTGGCACTTGCCTGTAACACCAGCACTTGGGAGACTGAGGCAGGAAGATTGTGAACAGAATGTCAGCCAGAGCTACATAGAGAGGTCAGGTCCAGCCTGGATTATGTAGCAAAATCCTATCTCAAAAAAACAAACCCAGACAGAAGGTTCAGGTTCAGTCCAATTCTTGCCTGAATTAGCTCCCTGCACTAAAGACCTTCCAAGAGGAAACACATATATATTTTAACACATATCTCTGTATAAAATATCCCAATTTTAACAACAATAAAGAAGTTTAAGGAAAGATTGGCAGCAATATGCCACATTCTGGGATGGCCGTGTAGCCTAGGAGTAGAGCACTTGCTTAGTGCTAAGGCTCAAATGTACAAAAAAGGACACATTTGTATAAAACAGGGAAATTAACAGAACAAGACAGGCAACCAGCAGCACATACTGGAATTATCAAGCAGAAAATTAAAATAACTATGATTAATAGGATAAAGTATAATACTGAAGACAGGCAAATTTAAACTGCTGAAAACTAAAACAAAAATCGCAAAAGTGGCTAGGGAAAGAGACAAATTATAATAAAAATTACAGCAGGATATTTATCAGAAACCATTCAACTGCAACGAAATCTTTAAAATGCTGAAAGGAACCTTATGAACTGAATCCTAAATCCAGCAAAAAAACTCTTTCAACAGTAAAGTGTAAATACTGTCTAAAATGAACAAAATCAGAATTTATTACCAAACGAAGTTGTTCCTTTAATATGAAGGAACATGATACAAAAAGAAACAATCTGCACAAATAAATATAGTGTTGAAATTAAATATGTGAAAGTAAAGTTTAATTAATTTCCTATGCTTTTTTTTTTTTTTTTTGGCTTTTTGAGACAGTGTCTCATTATATAGTTCAGGCTGGCCTCGAACTCACAGCGATCCTCCTGCTTCCCAAGTATGTACATTACAGACATATGCCACCATGCTTGGCAATTTTCCATTCTTTTAATTGCTCAAAAAATTAGATGACTCCATCAAGTAAAAGGAGTAAGCACTGAACTATGTGTTTATAGTACACACTAAAATAAAACATGTGATAACAAAAAGCACACAAGATGGAAAGTAGGAAGTTGGAAAGTTGAGCCGGGGATATGGCTCAGCAACATAGCCCCTGCATGGCAAGTACGAGGTTGTGAGTTCAATTCCTGATACCAAAAACAAAACTAAACTAAACAAAACAAAGGAAGTTGGAAAAATCTATCTTAAAGTCCTTGTACCATAAATGAAGTAGTAATATTAGTTGACAGTTTATTAAGTAAGAAAAATGGTGCAGGGCTCTGTATGTCTCACCATGATGTTCTGCACCACATCGGGACCTGGCAGGCAAGAAACCCACTACCAAATGCAGCTTCTCTACCCAGGACCAAGCTCCTGCCTTCACCCTTGGTGCCTTCATCTTAGTGGCACATGTGGTCTGTGGCTAATTATCCCAAAGGATAAGAAACAAAGCCAGGTCACAGATTGATTTCTGAACATAGTTATAGGCCACAGTCTGATCGTATTTACCCATTTCAGTGTCTCTGATGACTTTCAGGCCAGGACATCAGATCAAAGTCACTTTGTAAGGCACCCATTTAAAGGCTTTGCCTTAGAAGCTCGTGACGCTGAGGATTTGAATTGGTTCTTTCACCCTGATGTACTGTCAAGGATCACGACTTCTGACCTGTGAAGATATGTAGGGAATCAGCAATGGGTCCCGTAAGTTTTTTCAAAAACTCATAAATTTAAGTCCACTTCAGATTAAAGTCTATTTCAATTTAAAATCTGCTGCAAACACTGTGTCAGATGGCATATAATATATGTTGAGAAGCATAAAATCTATTGGGTGAAACCACCTGATCTATAACCAAATAGAATTTTGTAGCACATACAGCTGTAATAATACTTTTCTTGGTGTTATCTCTAGTCTCCTATTTAATCAGATTAGCCAGTGCCTCAGGTGGTTGGAGTGTTAGACGTTCTTTGGGTGTGCTCATAAACGGTATATACCTGTGTCTTTTTTGTCTTTCATAAGAGATGACCAGTTGGTGATGATTGAAAGAACAGTAAAGTTTGTGCATTAGTCACATTTTTTCATGAGTCAT